TTTTTTTTTTGAGATAGAGTCTTGCTCTGTTGCCAGACTGGAGTGCAATGGCGTGATCTCGGCTCCCTGCAATCTCCGCCTCCCAGTTTCAGACGATTCTCCTGTCGCAGCCTCCCGAGTAGCTGGGACTACAGGCGCACCACCATGCCCAGCTAATTTTTGTATTTTTAGTAGAGACATGGTTTCACCTTGTTGGCCAGGATGGTCTCAATCTCTTGACCTCGTGATCGACCCCCCTCAGCCTCCCAAAGTGCTGGGATTACAGGCGTGAGCCACGGTGCCCAGTCCACCCAGCTAATTTTTATATTTTTAGTAGAGATGGGGTTTCACCATCTTGGCCAGGCTGGTCTTGAACGCCTGACCTCATGATCCACCTGCCATGGCCTCCGACAGTACTGGGATTAAAGGTGTGAGCCACAGAGCCCAGCCAGGGAGCAGAATTTTTTTTTTCAGTTTCTGCATATTACCAACTTATTTTTATTGATGAATGTCACAAACTTCAATCAATACTTTTAAAAATATTATTCTGCATGCGTTTAACAAATCTGATAAAAGAACAGTATCCAGTTTACTTGTAATGTAACCATGATATTATAACTGAACAGTCAATTAACATATATTTAAAACCATTAGGTACAGGTAACAATGAAAAACTTCTGTGTATTAATCTGATGGCATCCAACCACTATGCACATGTTCATGTAACACTACTAGTAATTACCCTGAAGCACAAGCAAATGTAGATGGAGGATGCTCCCTAAGAAGCAAGTTTAAGGGATTAAATACCATCATCATCATCACTACTGAGAATAAAGCTGCTGCCAGTTGATAGGGGCCCTTCTTCAACACTCCCAAAACCACCCGAAGCTCTCCTCTCATCAGAATAGTCAAACAACTTCTCATCAGAATCTTCCTTCTAATCAAACAACTTCTCGTTGGGATCATCATCTTCGAACAACTTTCGTCAGCATCTTCATCTTCCTTTCCAACTGCATCTTCATCTTCCTTGTCGTCTGACTCTTCAAACAGCTTTTCATCCGCATCACCTTCTTCCTCCGTTTTATCAGCAGCTTCAAGCCCCTTTTCATCTGCGATTTCATCGTTTCTCATTGGACTCATCACCAAATTCTTTTTCATATGTATCCTCCTCTTCTTCCTCTTCATCTGAATCTTCCTGTAACTCTCTCTCAGAGCCTTCCTCATCTAACACTTTTTCAGAGCTGTCATCTTCAAATTTGGAGTTTTCAGAGTCATTTTCTTCTAACTCTGTCACAACATTTTCAGGAAGCTCCTTTTCAGAGCCATTCATGTCCAAATCCTTCCCGAGACCATTTTCTTCAAATCCTTTTTCGGGTGCATCTTCAGACTGTTTTTTAGAGCAGTCTTTGTCAGACTCTCTGAGTCACCTTTTTCAGACTCTTTTCTGGGTCCAGCCTCCTCTTCAGACTCCTTCTTGGGGTCATCTTCAGATTCTTTTGCAAGGGCATTCTCTTCACAGTCATTTTTGAGTGCCTTCTTTTTCGACTCTTTTTTAGGACTACCCTCTGCAGATCCTCTTACGGGATTGCCTTCTTCAGACTCTTTTGGGGAGCAGCTGCCTTCAAACCCTTCTTTGGCCTCTTTGGCCTCTTTTTCTGGGCCACCTTCTTTAGCATTGTTTTCAGAAGCATCTTCTTCAAATTTTCCCCCGTCTTGTCTTTGCAAACTTCTTCTCATCTATAGGTTCTTCAAATGCCATTCCAGTTGCAGCTTCTTGAGCATTCATTTTACATGTGCTGGGTGCTCTAAAAAGTGCCTTGCTCTAGAAGGCCCAGCCCTTTCTGAAGCCAACACAGAATCTGAATGTCTAAGGCCTCTACTGGCCTCAGGACCATTGAGGAAAGCCTCCCATCCTCTTAGACTTTCCTTCCTTTCTCTTAAGGTTTCCTCCACCATGCCTAGGCAGTGATTTGACGGCCACCAAATCATCTTCCATCCAGAGTGTGAATACAATAATCAGCTTCCTCTGGAACCTGAAAGGACACAGAGGCCACACCATCTGGGTGTCCATCAAAGAGAAGGAGCTTCCTAATTTGTCCAAATTTTGAATACTCTCCTTGAAAGTCTTTTGTGATCTCATTCAGCACCAACGGATCATCTTCAAAATCCATAGGATGAAACATATTCTTTTTTTTTTTTTTTAACTAATAAGCCAAGAGCTTTGTTGATGCAGCAGGCACTTTACAGTGAGCCCGAGAGCGTCCTCCTTCTCTGGAAGACAGGATGTCTGTACAAACTCTTGGTTTTTCCCACTTCAAAAACACAAGCTCTCCCATTTACCACAGCCCTTGGATCTGCACCTGCCCAAACCATCCCTCCCCCAGTGCTCACAGGTGCGCCTGACCAATGCCAGCCACCACTCACAGACAAAATGTCAGTTCGGCAGTACTCAGAGACAAAGGCATAGACAATCAGATCCTGCACAGGATTTAGGAAACAGACGATTTTCCCCTCCACCTTGAAAATAAAATACATTTCAGCAGCTACATGTCCTGAAATAGTTTAGTTGGGAGTTCCTAGGAAGATGGTCCATTGTCAATCCCTTCTTCACCTGTCCGGGCATCCAGAATTCTTCTCAAGGTAACACAAGTCTTTTAATTTTTTTAAACAGCCTTTCTTGCTGTAAGAACTCTTATAATGGAGCCTCGTCCTCCTACTGCTAAGGCCTTTTCATGCCACTGGAGCAGCACTGCGCTGCTCTTTTCTGTGGGCTTCTTTATAAATGTACTTCATTAACAAGTCAGCGCCGTTTCTGTCCAGTGACTGCACAGCCAGCTCAATCGCGCTGCTCTCCAAGTTTGTGAGCACTTTCAGCGCCACACCCTGGGCTCTTTCCTTCCCGGCTTGATTCTCGGTGTTGACGGGAGAGCTCCGCAGGCCTGCGTGGAATGCCCGAAGCTTGTCCCCTTGCCGCAGAAGCCGGTCCACCTCGCTGGGGTCCGGGCCTGGCTCCGCTGCCGCCGCCGCCTCCTGCTCGTCCACAAATTTGTTCTCGTCAAATTCGTCGATGTCCACCGGGCAGAAGCGCGAGGACAG